CTTCTCGCTCCGCTTTCAATAAGCAAAGATCTCTCATGAGATCATGCATCCGACAAGTAAAGATTTCTGAGCTCAGCTCGTCTCTATATCAACCATAACCATGCTCCTCTCTACCAGTTCCTCGAGGCAGCTTTCAGCCACATCCTCCAATGTTCTTTCCCTGACCCCCTCCTCTATACTGATCTGATGGAACAATTCCATCAGCTATCCAAAATTTAATCAATTTATCTACCGGTATTTCATAGTCTTCAGGAAAATGACCTAAACATAGAAAGCATTGTTTTAAATGTGGGAGCAAATCATCATAGCTCAAAGATAGAACATCAGAAACTGCGGAACGATCTTCTCCGTAACCAATGCCCTTTGTGATGTATGTTTGTATGTTCTCGGCCACCATTCTCCACTGCTTTAATGTATGTTTTGTTGCCAAAAGTCCCCCTAGCACCGTAATGGCTAAGGGCAAGCCTGCACAATGTCCAACCATTTGCTTTCCTAGCTCTTCCATCCTTTCATCAATTTTGAAGTCTGCAGAAATACTTGCAACATTAGGACCACCACAACCATAATGAGCTAGAATTCTGAATACATTTCATTTGGACAAAAAGAAAATCTTAAATGTTTTTGATATCTAGGTCGCCATATAGAATCTTGTTACTTCTGTCAACCAAATAAAAGAAATATATGCAATAAATTCGAATAAATGGAAGAATTCCTCTTGAAATGTAATATAATATTTCATGTAAGATTTTTGTTCTTCTCAAGACATATTATAATCTATTGAATTCTTAACTATTAGGTTAAACTTCTCATAAGTCTTTGTTATTAGCTTAAAAAATACTTTCTACTCCATTATTTAACGGGTAGATATATCACATGGTGATTATTTGCATATCAAGCCAGAACTAATCACTAGTCGTCAATGAAAATTATATGAAAGTTGGTGATAAAATCATTATCTAGAATATTAAAAAATAATGAAGCAAGATAATAAATAACCACCTGGAGTATCATCAACTCTCGCAAAGGCTATCTTGTGAAACAGTTCCCAGCTCTCTACATCTTTGAGGCACTTTGGTTCATGGAGGAACCCTTTGGGATCAGCATACAGAGCGAGATCTTTGTTCCGAGTGGTAAGCAGTATCTTACTCTCTGTTTTATTTGGGAAGGCTGCCTTTAGACTGTCCCAGGCTTCAATACTCCAGATGTCATCAAGTACCACCATACATTTGTTGTCTTGCAGGAACTTATGCAACTCTTCTGCCAATTGTTCATCTCTTAGTTTCAGAATTCTCTCTGCATCAGCACCAGAGGTAAGCCCTGAAAGAATTCCCTCCCAGACATCCCTCCTTCGACATTGTTGAGAAATATAAACCCATGCGAGATTATTATAATTACTCATAACTTTCTCATGGTTGTAGACTTTCTTAGCCAGAGTAGTCTTCCCCAAACCACCCATGCCAAAAATAGACATCACTCTGAAATTTTTTTCTTCATCAACCAAAACATTAACCAACTCATTAACGTTATCCTCTAACCCCACAATGTTTTCCTCAACAGTATGAGGAAACACCCTCCTCCTTTCTCTTACCTTCTCGCGTGAGGAGCCAGCTGATTCTTCTCTCTCCCTGAGCTCTTTTATGCCATAGGTCTGCAAACTCATGGTTATTGCAGAAATTCTAGACTTAATCGCCTCAATCTCAGAACCTATATCGTGCAGATTCCAGCCTTCGTTCAAAATGCAAGCAAATCTTTTCAGAATATTCCTAAAACCGCCTTGCCTTGACGATGCCACTTTGAGAACAAATGTCTCGATGACATCCTCCGCATCATAAGCGGTTTCTCTGATTTCAGCAATCCAGTTGCGAACGCTCTCACTTTCTTCTTGCCTTGCATCTGCATCTTTG